GAAAGAGGGAGGATTTAAAAGGAGACGAGATGGGAGAGTGAAACAGTGATAAAAACAAAGCTAGAAAAAAAAAAAGAAAGGAAAGGCGTAAAAAAGGAGTAATAGAAGACAATAATAATGATAATGGTGATAATGACAATGACAGTGATATGATAAAAATGGCAGGGGCGGGTCCAGAGAATTTCCTGAGGGGTGTGTGACCTTGCTGTGACTTGTGTATTAACAAATTAAGACTGCCCACTTCAGTACTTATATTGTACAGTTACACATTGTTGATGTTTTCATCTTGCTGTGTATTATATATTATTATATATTAATATCAAATATTCATATTCATTATATATTGTATATTAATATATAAAAGGTCAATGACTATTGGGGTGGGGGGCACACAGGGTGGCCAATCAGATCGCAGGGGGGCGGGTGCCTCCCCATGCCACTATGGAAGCCCCGCCACTGAATAATGACAATGAGGCTGATTATGACGGCGAGGATGATAACTTTGATAACAATTGCAACAGCAATGATAATATAATAATGATGATGTAAATATTATAATGAACAATTATAATAATAAAAATACACTGCAATACGGACAAGAACACTACAATATGGACATTACACTGCAATACGGACAAGATCAATACAATACGGACAACACTGCACTAAGGACAAGAACACTGCAATACGGACAATGCACTGCAATATGGACAAGAAGTCAGCCAACTGGTATCACAAAGAAGCGAAAAAAATCTTTTAAGTCCATAATAGGAACCGAAAGCTAAGCATTTATTAACCCAACAAGAAGCTAACGTATGAGAATATCACGTGACTGTGAAAATCTATTTATTTTATTCCATCTTGTTCTTTGATTCTCTCTCGTTTTATTTTACATCAATTGACCGCTTTTATTTTCTATTTTTCTTTTGTTATTTTATTCCTGTATGTGATTTTATGCTTTAGTTCCCCCCTCCACCTTTTCATTTACGAGTCGGTGTTATTAAGGTTCGAATTCGTGTTTCGAATCCTGTCTGAACCACGTGGGAATAGGAGGGTAAAGTGTTTCGAATGAATGAGTCGAAACAGGCGGTTTGGATGTTGGCAATACTGATGGGTGAATTTGGATGAGGGGGGAGGGGGTTGTGCAGTATTACCATACGTTGTGATTTTGGGATTTTTTCTATTTTCATCTCATTATTCTCTGTCTGTCTCTCCCTCCCTCTCTCTTTCTCTTTTTCTCCCTATCTCTCTATCCTCCCCCTCCCTCCCTCTCCCTCCCCCTCCCTCCCTCTTCCTCTCTCTCCCCCCTTCCCTGCGTACTGCTCTCCTCTCTTTCTCTCTCCTTCTTCCCCCCCCTCTCTCCTCCTCTCTCCATCCCTCCCTCTCTCTCTCTCTCTGACACGTACATCTAGTTCGTGTTTCTGACACGCGTTTAACCTGCATCCAAATCCTTCAATATACTCTCTAAATTCCTCCTTTTCCTGTTTCATTAGTTCTTCCTTCCTTATTCCCGAGTGTTTGTAGGACGCTAAACAGTCAGCAACCACAGTCGGTACCAACAGTCACCCTATGTACGATAATGATGAAAATCCTTAAAAGTATAACAAAGTAAAAGGACCAAACACACTCCTTATATTAAGACGCGATACTTAAAAAGAAACAAAGAAAGAAGAAGAAAGAAAGAAAGAAAGAAGAAGAAGAAGAAAGAAGAAGAAGAAGTAGAAGTAGAAGAAAGAGAAGACGACGAAGAAGACGGGGGAAAAAGAAGGAAGAAAAAAAAAAACACAGACAAAAAATAGTAAAAAACTACCAAACAACCGATAAATGAAGCAAAATGAAACGAGCTTATTATCCCCATTACCTGTCTCCTCCTCTTGAGACTGGTGACCACCCTGAGCTCTGCCTTCCTGTGCATCCTTGCGAGACGGTACCGCTCCTTGTACAGCGCCGAGACCTCCTTTATCAGCGCCGCACGGTCGCCCTCCCTGCCTGTTGCTCGAGTGAAAAATACGTTAGATGTGGGGAAAACAAGAATAAAATAAACCTGGAAAACAAAAGAAAAAACGATGGTTTAGGGTTAGATGCATGTGGAAAACAACAAAAACAATGGTTGAAGGTTAAATGCATGTGAAAAATAAAAACAAAGGCAATGGTGTAGGCCTAAATACACTAAACATGGAAAACAATTTAAAAAAAAACATTAAATATACGGAAACCAATAACAAAACAAAAACAATGGTTAAGGTCTAAAATACATTATACACGTGGTTAACAAAAACAAAAAACAATGCCATAGGCCTAAATACATAATACATATGGGAAACGAAAAATGGTTTAGGCCTAAATGTATCATACGTGGAGAACAATAATAAATAATGATTCTGGCCTAGATTCATTATGCACGTTCAAAACAACAATGACGACAAAAATTAATACTTTCAAGTATATTTCTGTCATTATTCTTATGTTATATAGTGAGGGTGTGATAAAAGGGAGAGAG